TATGACCATGTGTTACAGACCATATATAGGTTATGTATTACCAGGTCTATATGATCATGTGTTACAGACCATATATAGTTTATGTATTACCAGGTCCATATGACCATGTGTTACAGACCATATATAGGTTATGTATTACCAGGTCTATATGACCATGTGTTACACACCATATATAGTTTATGTATTCATGACTCGGTATTTTCCAGTGGTAACGAAAGATAATACGTGTATATGTACGTAGTTCGTTAATGTCCGGTCCCGTAGTGTTTGTTGGCAACTGAAGCCCATATACAGTTCATAATATATCCCTGGTCCTGTATTGCATAATTTTAAACCCTATATTTATTTAATTGGTTCCTTTCTTCTAAAGATTATATGTGAAACTATATCAATTTATATTCATATAATGTTGTCGGTACTGAATCAAAACCTGCAGCTTAGTAATATTCCAAAGTTCCGGATAAATATTTGGTTCTGTGATAAGATGTCGGCGATGAATTATTCCGTCTTTGCGTATTTCAGAGTTATCTTCTCTTGTGAGCAGGTATAGATTGTTACGTCATTGGTTTATTTGAGAAAATTACGTCGGTTTCTCAAAAACTGATGACGTTACTCTCACCAACAAATGACGTAACAATCAATTCCTGCTCACAAGAGCAGATAACTCTGCAATACGAAAAGACGGAATAAAGTTTGTTTGACTATACAGATTGAACGTTAATATGGTAAAGATTTGATATAATTGGCCCTTATGTCTGGACGTTGATTGGTATCTGTAATAGACGTATCGGACAACTTGTAATTTATGTTTAGCTATTATATTTTTTTCTGTCAAATTGGACGATTATTCTTTCTTCAGATATTTCATTGTGGCTGTGTTATCTTGTAAAATAATTTTGTGTGCTAGTGTTAGTGTATCTCATGGCAAGCCAACTCCACATATATTCATGGCAATATTTTCACATTAATATACTTACATAGGTTATATACATACATGAAATATTTAATGTATTACATCTTTAAGAGAAATCGATTTAGATCTCTTATAATCTTTATTTTGAAATATTGCAATTAATGTGTTCTGTGGGGAAGTGAAATGACAAAAAAAGACCATTCATCATATATTTAGGCCTCATATCCTTCTTTAAGGGCCCAAGTCAACGGTGAGCTTAAGTAACACACATCTTAATTTTTTTCTGAAAAAAATCCAGATTGCCATTACTTAGGCTTGCCGTTTACTTTCGTTTTACTTGTTGGAACTGTGAGTGACAATTGTTTTATCATAATATGCTGTTCTCTTGTCTTCAGATGTTTTATAAGAGTGTAGTAAGTAGACTATATTTTTGTACATATCTATGATATATAAATGAATTATATTTAGGTAATTATTTTTGTTATAGAAATATGGTATAGAAGATGATTGATTCAGTGTTGTATATATTGTATTTTACATGAGTGATTCATTGTTCTATACATCTGATACCGTTAACGAGTATTCAATGGTAGATTTATATCAAATACAGATGGCGTTTGAGATGTCCGTGGGTGTCGGCGACAGTGTGGAAGTGCTGAACAGAAACAAGGGGTATCTTCAAATCAAGATTGGAAACCGGGTGGGCGCCATTCCGGAAACATGTGTGAACATGCCAAATTACATGTGACATACGGCTTGTATCATTATGACAAATGTTTATGTTAAAATATACAGTTATGTATTACCCGTGATATTAATCAAATGTAATATTTTGTGTTAACCTATTTACTTAGTAACATAGTAACAATAGGACAAGGTGCTTTGGTTAACGATGTACAGAGTGACACCGTGTTGACAGTAGTCGCTGTTCCTCTTTTTATATAAACTAAAAATACCCACTTATTATATCTACCATCCTAAGAATATCCTAAAAAGGTTTTTTTCTGTATACTTTCAAACTGATTATAAATACTTTATAAGTGAAGGTTATTTCTCCTTTGGTGGTCTCCTTACTTGTTTCATTGTATATGAATCTGCCTTAACGAGCATCTGTCTATAACGACAACCTGTCTTATAAAGCCAACCTCTCTATAAACAACATCCTCAGAACAACTTAAAAAGTGTTAACTATATAATACAAACCTGTCTATATACACCTGAGCAATGAGAGTTTTATCTCCTCGTTGTGGTCTTTATTAACAGATTTCACTGTGTAGCCATCACAAAGGTGCATTACAAGTGTGTACCATTGCAGACGAATTCTGTTAATAAATGGCAAAGAAAGAATTAATTCACAAGTGGTGGTACTGTACCACTGGACGGGCGTATACATACTATACAATGATTCTGACACGTGGATACCGGATAACTAAGTAAACACATTCCTATATACGGGTGAGGTAGATATACCTATGTTTCTGTAGGGTAATTATAGTTATTGAGCATGCGTATTTATCTGGAGGTGGGTGTAACGACGCTGCTGTATCGGGTTGGTGGTTATAGACAGACAGACAGACAGACAGATTCTTTATGGCCTCTGGATAGAGATTTCAAAATAACACCAAACAATACAAATGATAATTACAGTTTCCGATTCAAAAATTGATCGGAATATTTAGTTTAAATCATATCAAGTCACATTTACTTGCAATTAGAAGGCTTGCGTTCATGTCGGAGAGCAGCAGCTCAACTCCGTCCGCAACAGCCGCCAGCATCAAACTCTCCCACTCGTCATCAGCCAATTGGATGCGCGCACTACTTCCCAATAGAAAATCCGTTTGGTAATTGTCCTCAAGAAATGAAAACTTTACATAATCTCTGACATTTACTACGTTTACAACCTTATCAAGGAAAGCATCGCGTTTAAGGTACAACACTGGACACTCCATAAGTAAATGTGAAACAATATCGATGGTAGTTTTCGCACACAGTCTACATGTAACCTCTTCAATTTCATTTGTCACTAATAGTAACATAAGATCCACTAATTTCCAGCTATATTGAGGAAACATTGCACACAAACTAAGGATTGGATTAAGACCTATTGATACATGTATTCCATTGTACCTTTTTAACTCGACTTAGGAAGAGAGCTCATGTTTCCATTTATCATAATACCAATACGGCGCAACATTTTTAATAAACCTTTTCCATGAATTCTTTGGATATAAGACAAAGTCTGTGATTTGCTCTATAAAAAACACCTCGATTTGAAAATTCGTCATTACTTGATAAACGTTCGGAATAAACCCCACTGTACTGATATATCAGATAGGCAGATATCACTGTACTGATATATCAGATAGGTAGATGTCACTGTACTGATATATCAGATAGGTAGATATCAATGTACTGATATATCAGATAGGTAGATATCACTGTACTGATATATCAGATAGGTAGATGTCACTGTACTGATATATCAGATAGGTAGATATCAATGTACTGATACATCAGATAGGTAGATAGATATCACTGTACTGATATATCAGATATGTAGATATCAATGTACTGATATATCAGATAGGGAGATATCAATGTACTGATATATCAGATTGGTAGATATCACTGTACTGATATATCAGATAGGTAGATGTCACTCTACTGATATATCAGATAGGTAGATATCAATGTACTGATACATCAGATAGGTAGATAGATATCACTGTACTGATATATCAGATATGTAGATATCAATGTACTGATATATCAGATAGGTCGATATCAATGTACTGATATATCAGATAGGTAGATATCAATGTACTGATAAATCAGATAGGTAGATATCACTGAACTGATATATCATATAGGGAGATACTTGTATTCTGTTATTGCAGATTGAAGCTTTAATTAACTAAGTACAATGTGTTTTAACATTGTATTGCTATAGATAGCTTTACTAGATTACAAATGTAACGTGTCACGTGATTTGTCCGAATGATGTCCTTTTTGTGTTTATTTTACTCACACTAAAGTATATCGATGCTTTACTAATGCACGTGTCAAAGCAATACCATAAATATCATATTTTTAATATAGGATATCGAACAGATTTCTAAGCGTGGTATTTTTTCTAGATAGATTTATGCATTTCATTTTTGATACTTCAATAACAGTCTGCTATGTTTGAGGTCAAACAGGAAGGTATGCCCTATCTCATATTTAAATAAATATAGTGAGCATGTTTTGTTTGATACGATCTCCTTAACAACGCATTATACTGTAAGCTTGTTTGAAAACTAAAACATAACGGGCAAGCACTGCTGTCATTCTTTTTCACAGCACCACTCTGTGTTCTTTCAATGTAGTATCATGATTCACAAAAGGGGATTTCTGTGAAAAGCAGGAATTGCATGAATATGATGAGTTCCAAAACTTAAATTTAAAAAAATATAAAAGTCATTCAGGTCTCTTTTGTAATGTGAAAAAACAAAATAGTTTTTTATAAGACAAAATAATTTCAATTTGATATTGTCAATCGACAATTCATCCTACCCAATAACTTGGGATGTCTTTTAGATATAACTGATTACTTTAGTCAAAAACTTGATATTATTCAATATATTCATGAATATGAAATTGCTAACAATTAAATGTCGGGTTACTCTATTTTGTTTGCATGGCAGAATTTGTTCATGTGAAGAAACGTAATAAACAGCATTAAGTTTATTGAGTATTTTAAATTTGAATGTATTGCCTTTCTTGTTGTGTCATTAGCGTTTAGGACTCACACTTATGTTCATGTTCAGATTTCGTGTGACCTATTTTCTATACAAAAAGCTATGGAAATAATTATGTTCAGTTTGGCAATGCCTGTTCCGAAACATGTTGAACTTGATATCACTCATTATTCAATTACTAGCAATATGTTATTTTTTTTTAAACTCACACCGATCTAAATGGAATTATTTAAATTATCTTTTCAACAGATAATTAGTATACTGACGTCGATAACAGTGGGAACGTTGTGACGTGGGTGTCACGAATGTTCTAAACTCAAACAACGATCACATTATTGTTTACATTTAAAACAAATGTCTTATATCTAATATTAATCCTGTACATCCACTGTCAATGTTTTTCTTGATAAAAATGCGTACATATATTACTATTACATGTTGATATCTGTGAATATTGCCTTCAAACAAAATGTTTGTGGTCTTTAATCGAGACGATCTAAAAGATAAGAGCGTTTTTGAAAACAAGACTCAGTTGTTTAACACAATGTCGAAGCCCTGTGAATTAACTTTTACAAATATACAGTACCTGTGTTACCTTATGCAAAATTAAAATCCTCCTTGTTCCTTACCACATCAGTTAGAAATTCATCAAATTGTATTTTTCTTTTATTTCATTTTTTTACTTTATCTCTGACCAATTGATCCTAAAGTAAGGTCAATATTAAATCAAACAATTTCTTGATTGTTTTATTCTGATATCAAAGCGACGAATACATGAATAACAAATGCATATAATATTTAAATACCAACATACAGTAATGAAGAACAACTCATGTTTGTTATGTGATCAAATTCTATTTTATAATTAATTGATAGATATTAGTTACTTGTATTGAAAAATATTTTGTACACGTTATTTTTCGAACAGATGCTGATATTTTTCTTTTATTCATACAGTTAGTTCAAAGCAATGCCTTAAAGTTGATACATTTCTTGAACTCATAGTCAGTGGATATGTCGCTATTTTATATCGCTTTCGTTATTGGTCATGTATTGTATTTTATGTATTAGCTGTATACATGTTTCATATTATGTTTAAATCGTTTTTGTTAATTTCTTTATTTTGTCTTACATTCTTGGGGTACTGTAATTACGAGGCACTTCTTCAATATGTTGTAACACTGGTAAACTCCATCGTGTAATGTTGGGACACTGGTAAACTCCATCGTGTAATGTTGTGACACTGGTAAACTACATCGTATAATGTTGTGTCACTGGTAAACTACATCGTGTAATGTTGTGACACTGGTAAACTCCATCGTGTAATGTTGTGACATTGGTAAAGTCCATCGTGTAATGTTGTGACACTGGTAAACTACATCGTGTAATGTTGTGACACTGGTAAATTACATCGTGTCATGTTGTGACACTGGTAAACTCCATCGTGTCATGTTGTGACACTGGTAAACTCCATCGTGTAATGTTGTGACAATGGTAAACTCTTACATGTAATGCTGTGTTAATGTGTATGTTGCTTAATGTTTAAACAATGAAAACAATTGATTTCACTTGGGCAATAACAGACACGTTATATTTTATCATTGTGGGTAACTTGGTACATAGGTATATCTTTCACATAGAAAAATACTTCACGGGTAAATTTGACATGAAAACAAGTCCTGGCCTGGAATTGACCTGATAAATTTCACATAAAATGTGACCTTTTTACACGTAAATATCAGGTAAATTTCTTGTTGAATTCGTGTCAATTTTACATCCGAATTCGACTTAATTTGACATGCTGGAAGAGAGGACCTGGAATTAGCTTACATCGATATGGGGACCTTTTACCATTACTACTGAGGTAAGATCACCAATTCTGTCCAGTGTTTTTAGTATTTGTTCTAACTTATGATCTAACTGAAAAGGGTTCTGTAACTTAAATGAAATTCTTGATTAGGTAATGTTTTCATACGTTTTTCATCTGAAAATAAAGTATATGTCTATGTCAAATAAAAAAAGATTAAATGTCCATGTGAAGTAAGTAAAGAAAGAACAATAATATTTATTATGGTGGCCCGGCGAAAGGCGCATCGGATAATGCACTCGATTTTCTCCAAAACGGCCGGAGTTGGATTCTTCGATCGGACGTGAACGTGTGTGTGGGTTCATCTGCACGACCAAGGGGACTTTATTCAATCCCTTGGTGTCTTGACCCATATGCCGGCCATCATAAGTGATTACTGTAACTTGATTTAACTAAATTCTAAATTAAATTTAACTATAACAGACCCGAAATTTCAAAAACAAAATCTAGACCCCGCCATCAAACTCCCTTGATCGAAACCCCATCACTACAATGACTGGATCAAGACCTCATGATCTCCGGGTTCAGACCCAACCATTATATTCCCCGGGTCCATACCCAACCATTACAAACACTGGAACTAGACCCAATCGTTCATTACACGGGATTCAGACCCCATCATTACAAAACTTGGTCCAGATCGCATCATTACAAATAATAGTTACACACCCAATCATGAAAAATACGTTAGGTGTTCATTAGGCTGAGCTTGAGCTTACTCAATTTCTACTGCCTGTAGTAGACTTTATGGTCAATTGGGGTTTCCAGTCATTTTCTTCAAATCGTTATTGATTATCACATTAAACAGAATGTAATGCTACGAGTAAATGTTGTGCTTTATGCGGCCTTTATGTAACTTCGCTTGTTTAACTTATAACGTTATTTGTTATATTTGCACTGTTAAAATGTATGTACGATACGCACATTAAAGAAATGTATACTATCGCTATAGTTTTTTTTTTATTGAGTGCTTGTAGTCATTACTTCTCACAGTTAGATGTCGTTGGTTGGAAGATCTTCGTGACATAAAACCCCACCTATCTATCACAAACACCATGCTGTACATTAACAGGTTATTCAATGCCTTTCCGTGGTATAAACAAAATGTTTGACCCGATCCGAAAGTGATTGACGATCTGTCTTTATGCAATATAGCGAAATTACCGGCACCACATGGTAACTGTTGTTCGTTATTGAAATTACCGGCACCATATGGTAACTGTTGTTTGTTATTGAAATTACCGGCACTGCATGGTAATTGTTAATCGTTATTGAAATTAACGGCACCGCATGGTAACTGTTAATCGTTATTGAAATTACCGGCACCGCATGGTAACTCTTGTTCGTTATTGAAATTACCAGCACCGCATGGTAACTGTTAATCGTTATTGAAATTACCGGCACCGCATGGTAACTGTTGATCGTT